CATCCTATGAGGGATGCCAGACTGCGAGAGGGCACAGGGCATTTTTGTGCACTGGGCCTCTAGTCTATATATATAAAAAGCCTAAGCGACCAGACAACCAAAAGCCCATTCGCTATGATGAGCACTGACCACCAGGGGGCAGACACTCAATGCAGGAGCTACCCCCTGGTGGTCAGTGCACTCCCACAGCGGGAGCACCATTCAGCCCCGTGGGCCATCCAGCCCTGCAGCAGCCTCACTCCCTCAGTAGTCCTGTAGGTCCAATCTCCAGAGAACAGCCAGGCACCGACGGGCCAGTGCCACCAGGAGGTTCCTGACAGCACTGTCAGCCTCTGGGAAGTCGGCCTGGGGCAACGTGGCCACTTCCCCTCCCTAGAAGCTCTGCAAGGAACAAACGATATAAAAGTGGCTGCCAGGTGGCTTCAGACAACCAGCAGGAACATCAGTGGGGGGGAGTCGGGGAGGACTGATCCTGATCCTGGGCCAGCAAGGGTGTCCCCGATCACATCCAGGCCCCCACCCCCTCCTCAGGACGGGTGTCAGACGCAGGGCTCATGGTTTGGGAGCTCCACTGCAGCAGCGGTGCAAGCCTCTCCAGATCAGAACTGACTGGGAGAGAGACTGTGGCAGGTGCAGGGGCTGGGATGAGCAGGAGCTGCAGGTGGCCTTGGACTGCTGGTTTTGGCCCGATTCCTGCAGGCCATGCAGAGAAACCCCACCGGCGCACTGGGCCTCTAGTATTATAATTACTATGGGTGGTAACAGCTGGCTTCTGAAAATATCAGGGGAAACACTTTGTAAAGTATATGATTGTCCAAGAACTATGCTGTGCACTTGAACCCAGTGTACAATAATACTGAAAGTAAAGTGTAATTGTAAAATTAAAAATATGTAAATTGAAATTTAAAAGAAGACTTACCTATTGGATTCATGGGGGAGCAGACGTGACCACAGCCCTCCCTGATGCACTGTTGTTCTTGCCCACAGTCCCTGCCTGCTCTGCCTTGGTGCTTGCAGATGCCTGAGGAGAGGAAAGACTAGTTAAAAGCTTTTAAGTCTTACACTTGAAGAATAAAATTTTAAATGTCTTCATAGTGCCATCCAAAAGCCCATCAATTACCTAAGTATAAATCTAACAAATTATATTCAGAAAACTACATATTACTAAGAAAAAAACTGAAAAGATCTTAATAAACGAAGTCACATGCCATCTTCATGGATTAGAAGATTCACAATCATGAAGATATGAATTTTCCCAAAATTGAAATTGAATGTAATTCCAATGAAAATCTTAGAAGGATTTTAAAATGAAAATTCATAAATGAATACTAAAACTTACATGAAAGTCCTAAAAATCAAGAATAATCAGGACAATTTTTTCCTTTTTTTTCAGTTACAGCTGACATACAATATTATATTAGTTTCAGATGTACAACATCGTGATTAGACATTTATATAACTTATAAAGTTTTCACCCTGAATCAAGACAATCTAGAGCAAAGTTGTTGGTGTTGGGGGTCAGAGAAGGAGTGGAAGAAAAACATGAAATTAGCTAATTTTATTATGACTATTACTCATAGTATTTCACTTATAGATAATCATCCACAGAAAAAAGAAGGGAGCAAAGGTAATACTTAAAGGTGTTAGTATAAGATAACTATTACAACAAAAATATAAACCTTTCTAAATACAAAACATATAGTAAGAGAAAGAGAAAGGGGGAGAGATTACACCACTAAAATAGGTTACACAGTGAAAGATCTTCTAGCTAATAAAGAGGAAATAAAACCATAACAGTAAAAAGGTATTATAAATCACCCAATTAAAAGGAATTCTTATCTGTTAGAGATACATTCAGAAATAATCTATAATAATAAAAGCATAATATGCTAAGTAGACAGGATAATCCTTCCTGGTGACCTTCCGGGCAAAGCCAGGGCTGGGAGGAAAGCCCGGGTCCCGGTGCCAGAGGAAAGCCAGTGCTGGCAGCGGGGGAAGGAAAGTACTCTTGCACGAATTCTGCACATCAGAGCTCTAGTATGTAATAAAATAATGTCCAGAACTTTCTTCAAAATAGCATGAGAAAGGGGGAATGAAAGGGATTATCAAAGAAAAATGATTACATATTAACAGTGGTTGAAGCTGGGTGATGGGTATGTGGTATATCATTATACTATTCTATGTGCTTTGTATATATTTGCATTTTCCCATAATAAAAAAGTTTAAAAATAAACTATTAATCCTTACAAACAACACTCTATTAATTACTCTGGGATTAAAATAGAACGTGGCAAATTTCTCCCAGGTCCAGTAAGGACTGTGCCCCAGAAAGTGTATCTCAGTGAGAAAGTCCTCATGAAATAAAATAGTACATTTCCCAACTCCATAGCCAACATTCCCATTCTGATCTACTCACACTTACCACACAGCCTGTCCAAACAGCTCGTGCTGCATCTATGCCTCACACACTGAGATTTGGTTAAATGATTATTTGGAGAAAGAAGCTGGAAATAAGCTAACTTTCCATGTAAACTGGGCGGGGAGAGCTGTTAAGTGCAATAGTGGACTGGTTTTTATTGGTTTATTGGTTCTATGGGTATCATTTTTTGTTTTCTCAATCACTTTGCAAGGAGTGGTTATGACTTCCAAGAGAATAAGGCTTTCGGTTCATTCGGTCGAAAGGCCCTTTGTAGGACCTGTGATTTTTTTCTCAAAGTCAAAGGGCTCATTTGGAATTAAGAAACAAACTTTGTCCTGATCAGCGTGGCTCAATGGTTAAGCATCGACCTAGGAACCAGGAGGACATGGTTCGATTCCTGGTCAGGGCACATGCCCAAGTTATGGGGTGGATCCGCAGTGGGAAGGTATGCAGGAGGCAGCCAATAGATGGATGTTTCTTTCTCATTGTTGATGTTTCCATCTCTCTCTCTCCCTTTCTCTTCCTCTCTAAAATCAATTAGAATATATTTTTTAAAACGGAAACAAGCTTTGAAAGGTATTGCCCCCAGGGATACCTTCCTACACCATCTGATCACAGACTTCCAGAAGAGCAAACACCAGAGCAAGGGGAGCAGCCCAAGGAAGCAGACCTTAGGCATGTGCTACGCCTTGAGTCTGCTCTGGAGCTTGGCATTGCAAGAAGGTAAATAAATAATCACAGAAAAAAGAGCACTTGGAAAAGTCTTTCCCAATACAGGCTTTTCCATGACTTCCTTGTCTAAAGTATGCACGCACAGATGGTGAGGGAAAAGACTCAAAGCTACCTGGCCAGGCTGGAGGAAGTCTCAGATTTCTGTGACCCAACTACACACATAGGTACATTGCTGTGGTGTTAGGGAGGTGAGGCCAACTCTACTTCATGGCATAGAATTGGGGAATGATGGGTGGTCAGGAAGCCACACACAGGCTGTACATGGGAGAGGCAGGCAGCCCAGAGGTGATGAAGAGCTTTGGCTGACTGAAAAATGCCTACCAAATATATACATGTCATACTACATTTTAAAAAATATAAATATGGGTGGGCAGGGGAATCCCAAAGGGTTCTGGGAAAACTTTCCTTTAAAGCTTATAAAGCCCTTTGCAGATGACGGTGTTCAAAGAGAAAAGACCCAGTCAATGCCCTTTTGCTCCACCTTCCCTGTCCTATAAATATGAAACATAGATAATCCATACATGACTTTCTATTGAGACTCTAACACCTGACCAGGAGAGCCCTGCCAGTGAACATATTCCCTCTTTGGGAGAGAAGGTCAGCATGGTACAAGACATGGAGCATTTACCTAAATGCAAAACAGACATGGAGGAGAAGACTGGATCCTCTACTCATTAAGAGTGTTGGGTTTCACTGGTTTTGCTCAGTGGTTGAGCATCAACCTTTCTACAGCAGGTCATGGTTCAATTCCCATAGGGGCACTTGCCAAGGTTGTGGGCTCATTCCCCAGTGGGGGGCATGTGGGAGGCAACCAATTGATGATTCTTTCTCATCATTGATGTTTCTATCTCTTTCCCTCACCCCCTTTCTCTCTGAAACCTTTAATAAAAACAAATTATTTAAAAAGGAGTGTATAGTTGGGCAAGTTATTTAGCTACTTGGACCCTCTGTCTCTACATCTATAAAATTTACAAAAAATTTTGCTACTGAGATGGTATTATAGTGTTATGGTGAGTGTAAAGTGAGATACTACATGTGAAAGTGCCTGTGCATAGTGAGTGTTAATTATCCTCCCCTAATATATGGCTCCAAAATCTGGGTGACCACAGAGTCTGACACGTCTGCATGCCTACAGAACCTGTATAGACTTCAGGACTAACTAAAGGGCAGAAACCTAAGTGGACGTTGTAGGATGCCATCCTCAAGTATCTTTGCAGAGGAAGGTCATACATTGGCATTCAGAATGGCACATTGTAGGTGACATTGTTTGAGAACATGTTATGGGTGTGCTCATGAGCCCCCAGTAATGACCAAGAGAGACAGAAGCATGGTGGGATTTGGGGTGTGGATGACCAGCCAGTAAAAGAAGATATCAAAGCTAATGCCCTCCCAACTCATCCTAACTCCTAACCACTTCCCAGCCCACACCACTCAAAGCCCCACATCCCAAGGGCCAGGGTTGCTCTCATAGTGTTAGGCATCCAGTCCTGCTACATGTCGGTGTATTGCCTTAGAATAGGGTTTCTCCGCAGTTGCTTCTGCTCCTACTCCTTCTGAGTCTTGCCCTAATAAAGGCTGTGACTATAGGCCTGTTATGTGCTAAAGGGTCATTTTTTTCTTGACCAAAATCATATTCCCAGAATGCTTGAGAAAATATTATCATGCCCTTTGCCCTGTTTAGATACATGAACATGGAAGGAGGAAAGAAGCTAGCTGGCAGACCTTGCCTCTGATCTATCCTGAGTGCCTCGTATTCATGGGCTCAGTACAGGGCACACGGTCCATTCTGTTCATCCACACAGGGTCCACTAGAAAGAATGTCTAAATGGGAAGAATGACACAGTCTCAATAATGCCACAGGTAAAATTTATTTTGGACACAAGCTCTTTAGAATCGGCCAATCCACCATTTTAGATCTTTATCTTCTGGGACTGCACGTTAAGGGATAGACACTTGCCAGGACTGGTGTGTGGAAAACATTAGGCCAAGCACTGGATCCATGCATTCATGAGCAATCTTCTGGGGCTGGTCTCCAGGCAGGCTTACAACCTCCATTGTTCTTCCACATGGTCATCAACAGCATTCTTTTAAAATACAAATTTGATCATGACATTTCCTCTGCTCAGAAACCTCCAGCAGTCTACCAAACTCTTTGGCAAGGCAGCTCATTCCTTTCTGGACCCTGGCCAGGATGATCCTCTACTGAGATGTTGCAAATTCTACTGACCACAATCTCAATCACTTTCCCATCTCCAGTGTAGGACCCACATTTCCCAATCATCTGTACTGCCCTTCCTTACTGTGGCAAACTTTATGCCTCCTTTAAGCTCTTCCTTAAATGTTCTCTACTCTCTGACAACCTTCCCAGCCTCCACTGATCCACCCATCAAGAAAACCAATAACTATTACCTGGTCCTCCACAGACCTTAATAGAAATTTGTGCAAAGCTGTGGTCACCCTGGGTTGTAATTATTTACATAGTTCTGTCTCCCTGAACTAGCTGTGTTTAGCTTTTCATCTCAACTTCAGCACAATGCCTGACTGACAGAGGAGATACTCCCTAATTGGGGTTCTCTTTGCTTTCCCTCTGCCTCCCAGGATCACCCATTTTCTAGGAAGAGTCAAGAAGCCACTTTGGTTCGGAAGGGGAAGGAGGGTGACAAACCCTGGGTCAATAATGACCTGTGATTCTAGGATCATGGTTACTTGTCTCAACTGAGAGCCCATTGGGGAGTAGTTAACACCCATGTCAGCTCTTCACCGATTTATACTCACCACATGGATAGCAGGTTTGCACTGACGGCCACATCCGGTGCTGCAGCATTTCATTCCCCTGGGACATGAGTCATCTCCTCTGCAGCTTATAACACAAATCCCAACGGTTCCTTTGGGTACCCTGGGGCAGAGTCCAGGTCTGTTTCCCCCTGAAA